TTAATAGTATATTTGTTAATTTTTTGAGTTATTTATATCGACTATAAGTACAAAGTTTTTCAGTTGATCTTCTTCAAAATAAGATATATATATTTTTCATTTCATAAGAATGACATAATTTTGTTTATTATTCTTTGTTTTTTTATCTGAAGATAATAATAAATCATTCCCTCACCCTGTTAATCATTCCCTCATTTTTATTTTTTTAAATATTTAGTTTTTAGAGAATACAGACGAAAAAATGACAGACCAAGACTTCTAAATAGATCTCTTCAAGCTACTTTATTGATTTCAGCAACAAAAAAAAGAAAATTCCATTATAAAAAGTAATTTTAATTATGTCTCAAATTTTGAAATTTCACAAGAAATACCCAGGTTACAATCACCAAATAGCCCAGGTTGACTTCAAAACCTGTAAGAAAATATGTAAGCAAATAATTTATATTATGTTCGGTAGAGAATGTAGAGAATAAACGAATAACAATTTTTCATCTGAGAAATGACGCTGCCAAAATTGAAAAAATTAACAAAATAGAGTGCAAATAAGTTTGTCGATTTGGAAAAAATTGAACAGTTCAAATGTAGAAGACTGAACAGAAAGTTGAAAAGTTCAGGTAAGTGGGAAATGAAGTGAGAAATCCAAGATTGCATTCGATATGAAAGTTTATAGTTCAAAATATCAGTTTAAACATCAGAAGTACGAATCAAACGTTGATTTTCTCAGTTTAAAGCCATAGTGTATCAATTTTGATCTTGAAATTAATATTTCAAATTTGAAATGGTCAACTCTTACAAAATTTCTAGGTTCTGGCAACTGTCACCTGGAAAATAAGTATTTTCCTGACTTTGAACGACTTTTTCAAACTGAAATTTCCAAGTAAATTCATATAATAGACTGATTCAAACCCTATCTGATATTTTAATAGTCAGAATCCCAAGAAATAGACAATTTCTGAAAAAATATCCAAAATTCAGAAAAATTCTGGCACATAATATGTGCCATATATTATATGAATTGAAGAACACTAATGGTTTAGATAAAAAATAAATTTCTATAACATTCTACAACTATACATACAAAAATATGAAGTTAATACATCTATATGGAATATTACTTTCACACCAGTTCATTGTCTTGATGAAAGATGAGAACACAAAGGAAAACCATTACATTTTTGAAAAATCAGTCTGATTTCACAACTATAACTATACATATATTTTTTCTTGATAAGTAAGTCCTGTGGAATCAATTGATGCATGAAAAATGTTATTAAGAAAATTATATACGCATTCTTCCAGCTGCTGGAAAAATTATATTTTACAAAAATATTCCATTTGGTTCAAAATTAACAGAGATAATGAATAGACCTGAATGAAACATTTTGGATTTGGAAAAGAGCACCTCAAATATTTTGAATGAATTTAAATTCACATGAATTATACATGGGTCCCATCCAAGGAATGCACCTTGTTCAATGTCTCCCTATTCATCGAATTCTCCAGTTGAATTTTAGTTTCCCTTCTTGTCATTGGAGACTTCAAGGAGAATTTTGATTCCTTCTTGTTCAGATGTTTGGGAGAATGCACTGGAACTACTCCAGTAGGTTTTGCCTGTAAGAATTTATATTTAATATGGTTACATAGATGATGTGATTATTTTAGTTCAATACGAGATCTTTGTGGATCAATAAAGGAACATTTTTTCAGTTAATTTCAACTAATGTATACATTGAAAATTTATGAGCGTATTGTTGAATTCAATAACAGATAACTAATATTGAATAAATGAAGATTGTTTCAAAGAAACAGCTGAAAACAAACATATGTATATGGGATATTGTAAATAGTTTCAGAGGGAAAACCGAAATTGACAATAAAAGGGAGAATCATCTTGAAGCAAATGGTATCCGGATCAATGTTGGAATAGAAGTTGATAATAATTTTGCTTGCCACTTTGCCAGAGAAGCTCCAGCAGTTCTGTTAAGACATGTTGGTCAGAACATGTCACTACAACATATGGTCTCGGAATTTAATGAAAACTCAATATTTTTTGAAGAAGTGCTAAAACCTGAACTAGTTTCAACAATGACCGAACTAAAAAATAAAAAATCGAGTGGCCTAGACGATATAACAATAAAAGTTCTAAAATATGTCATTCTGTAATGGAAGGCATGTTTCCGAGTATCTTCAAAACAGTCAAAGTTATTCCTAATAACTATCGCCGAATATCATTACTGAGTATTCCATCAAAACTTATTGGAAAAAATAGTAGCAAATAGAATTATTGCGTTTCTCGAAAAATACAAGATTCTAACCGATCATTAACATGGCATTGGCATTTGAGGGTTCCTTCTGGAGTGGATAAAATCTTCTATGGAAGATAGGAAAATGGTGGTGACTGTGAATAATGCAGTGCCTGATATTCAAGATATTATCCTTGGGGTACCACAGGGGTCCATTTTAGGCCCACTGCTTTTCTCTATCTATATAAATGATCTTCCGAAGTATATAAAACAAGGTTTCATTATTCTATTCGCAGATGACACTACCATCACAGTTTCCGAAAATACTGCGGAGGAGGTAGAAAACAACATTAATTCAGTCATGGATGACATGATTTCTTGGTGTGATAGAAATCAACTAAAATTGAATGAAAGTAAAACAGTACATTTAAGCTTCGCGTTAAGGAAAATAGTGAAACCATGCCTGCAAAAAATTGAATCAAACGTTATTTGCATTACGACAGATCAAAGACAAGCTCAGTTTAGATGGTACCAGGATTATTCATTGGCGTACTCACATATGGCTCAAAATGTATTACTGTGGGGATCTTCTGTGGGGACAAAATGTGTATTGTTCAAAAAAGAATGATTAGAACTATCTTTAATATTGCACCCAGGGATAGCTGTAGACCTGCTTTCTGTGAGAACAAGATGCTAATGTTACCGTGTATCTATATATATAAAGCTCTGCTCCATGTGAAAAATAATGTATCCAATTTGAGAGATGAATCAATAGTTCATAACCATGCGACACGAAATAGACATTTATTAACTATCCCAAAACATAAAACATCAACATTCACAGAATCACTTGCATATAATGGCATAATATTATGCAATACGTGGCCTCAAGATATTAAAGATTTGCATATTATACTATTTAAAAAACAAATAAAGGATCTATTAACTAATAAGGAATATTATAGCTATGATCGAAACGACGAATAAAGTTGTTATTATTATTATAAGAATTTATTTATTTCCTTGAAGTATACTTGCATTGGATACCATATAATTTGTACTTAGGATATTGAAAATTCTTCGAATATATGTAATATATGAATATTCAGTTTATTGCAGATGGAAATATGTCCACTGAATATCAGATGTTTTTATTTCGACAGTTCGTTAAACTTCATAAAAAAAAAGTTCCAATAAACATTCGAGTTCCAATAAACATCTTGTTTCCCTTTCAGTGAACAATGTGTCTTTATGTCAAAGTTTTGACATGAAGACAAGACGACAGAAGTATTTTGGTAGATTATTATGAAACATTAGCACCAGCTCTGAATAATATCAATTCTTTATGTTTTTTCGATTCGAATACCAAAGACAGTAATTATAACAGATATCACATATAAATTGTTCAATGAATAAGCTCCCAAATCTACTACTCCACTTAATATTGATAATAATTTTTATAAATCCAAAGAAAAAGGAATTTTTATAAAACAATTAAATACGTTATTTGAATGCTAATTGATCAATGAAGTGTACAACACATATAGATAATTGAATTCTAATAACAATGAAAAAAATATATGGAGATCCGAATTTCAATTAAAGGAAGAAAACAGATATTTTTTTAATTGCTATTTGAATTTTATTGTTCTGTCATTCATTTTCGATTTGTCTGGAAGATTATTATATATTTCAACAAATTTTGAGTGATATGATTCAACTAGAAGTTGTTTGAATAATACTAGAGTTTTTCTCCCAATACCAAATCGTTATTTTTAGGAAGAATAAACTGGAAACTTTGCGAAGCTAACCCTATTTATGCTATACAGGTACACCATACAGGTATGCCACACCTAAAGTAATTTTACAATTTGTCTTATCTATTATTTTACAATATGTCCTTATGTAATGTTCAAATGTTATAGCTATATATAAAATAATTTTCAGCTGTATAAAAAATTAATTTCACAATATTGCCTATCTAAATTTATTTTTACAATATATCCTTATGTAATAGCTATATAGTATATATGCTATTTGGTATTGGTCCGTCATCGTTATTCATAATATTATTATGTTTACTTATGTCTACACTCTCATAGGCATCTAGTTGCCTGTTATTGTTAACTTGCCTAACCAATCTTAATGAACTGAAGTCTATGGAATGGTTTTGTTGCAAAATACGATGGGCAACTGCTGATTTTTCAGGGCTTTCATATTTTAAGGGCTTTAGGTGTTTCTTATATCTTTTTGTCTGTTCATAATATTTTGTATCGCAGTCCTTACATTTAATTTCGTAAATTCCAGACTTTTCCGAATTCTCGACTTTGTCTTTTGGATTTCTCAAAAGGCTCTGTAGTATATGACTTGTTTTGAAAATCACCTTCATACCTAGTTCCTTGAAATAAACGAAGAACCTTGGAAAGATACGATTTATATCATCATAATCATTGAGTTTATGAATGTTTATGGTAGTATCTTCTAGCATTAACTTTTTTTATGAAAGGCATTCATACATATGTAGGATTTTTCCAACAACTATTTGGTTTAGAAAAATTTCATTTCGTTATTGAAAAAATCGATAATCGAATGTATGTAGCTTGTGGAATTTGAACATTTTTCAAACAAATCACGTATTGTAAGTTCCTCACCTTAGAAGTATCATTGGAATCGTTCGTACAAACTTCCATCTTCTTATCGTTCAAAATGGAAATATTTCTTTCGAGTCGACTAGTTTTCGTACAGGGCGAGCAACTTTTCGATCGATTGACTATTGGTTCGGAAAGTAGTCTGGGTACTGATTTGAAAACTGGCCCGTCGTGATTCGAAGTTGAAACGGGAGTGTGGGGCGCCGACTGAGAAACCGTCATTCGATTTAAGGTGTTGGAGGTAACGTCTCGATCTATTGACTTCATGGATTTCATGTTTTCCAGGTAGGTACCGGAACCGGACAGCTGCCTCATGTTTGGTTGGGATCTGGAACCAGAAGAGATTATGTCAATTTCTCCCTCAAAAACAAGCACTGTTAACAATAATTACTAGAAATACAACACTCTTTTCGACGCTGGTTTCACCAACAAAGTTGGTGTCTTCAGGTAATGAAGAGTTGAAGAGAGTTCAGAGATGAAGAGTTGTCTTCAACGTAGGGACCGGAGTGTCCCTGAAAATTCTCTCCCCGGGGATCGGAAACATATTCCTTTCCCCGTTTTCCCATTTTTCTATCGTTTTCAATTCAGCAGCCAACCATAACCTAATTAAATCCCACTCATTTTACTATTTTGATCTACTTTACTTTTAGAAGCCCACCTTCTAGGCACGAATCTATTGAAACAGCTGACTGGATACAATAAGTTAATATTCAAAACGTTATTATTGATTTACTGAGGAGCCAGTTGAGATGACTTCTTTTCGAGTCAGATGAAATTTGGAACTGAAATTGAATCCACTATAACGAGTGTAACAATTGAATAGAGCCCAATCCCTGAGGTACTTCTCAATGTAAGTCAGCCCCTTCAAAATACTAAGCTCAGCAAAATTGAATTTTCAGTTCAGTTTTTATTTTCAATTCAATTCAGTATATTGTCCCAAGAAACATTGAATGCTCATAATTAGGGACCATAACTAGCTACAAAGGATCTCAAAATAACAGAAATAAAATATTTTACAATAAACACATAACAAAAAAATAAAAAAATGCACTATAATATGAAATTAGTTATTTATTTATTTCATACACTATTCTACAGGATGAACCCAATTACAGAATAGGGAGTAACAGTGGCATTTACAAAAATATGTACTTACATCTATATAAAAAAAAAACCAAAATCAGAACTGTCAGTTAGCTAAGAAATATCATTTGATTTGTATAACTAACAGAATTAGAGGTATCGCACATTATATAAATTGGAGATTTTTTCATTATATTTGTACGCGGAGTGTTGTTAAAATGTGACACTATTCCTAGATGACCGTCTAGGAACCCAAAAAACATTTGTAACAGTTGAGAGCAGGTGATGATATTGTTTATGACCTTGAATAAAAAAAAATATATTTACGTCTTACCTCGAGACTACAACAATTGTGAGTTTCAAGCAATTCATAATAGGGTATTTCTACAGTATGATACGTGCCTTCAAGTTTAAAAGACATATATTTTAGTAAGCGCCTCTGTAGGGCTTCTAGTTGATTTATATGAACCTGATAGTAGGGATTCCACACGACAGATGCATATTCCAGCCTAGATCGAACAAAAGTGAAATGAAGTAATTTCAATGTTGAAGTTTTTCGAAGCCTTTTGTATTTCTAACTAAAAATCCATACATGCGATACGCTGCTGTTAGACTAGTGTCAATATGTTTATTGAAAGAGAGGGATGAAACAAAAGTAAAACCTAGATCAGTCAGTGTGTCAGGACGTTCCAGAATTCGATTGTTTATGACGTAGTTGTGTAAATTCAAGTTCGTTTTCAGTGAGTAAGACATTACATTACATTTGAATATGTTGAGAGATAGATTATTCTTCCGACACCATGTAGCAACGCGATTTAAATTCAGGGTGAGACATTCGCAATCATTATAACATGTTATATTGTGATAGAGTTTCAAGTCATCTGCGTTTGAAAAGAAATTGACATCAATCTTGGCTTCGATATCATCAATGAACATATTGAATAGTAGGGGTCCTAGATTTGATCCTTGTGGTACACCAGATGTGGCTATATATTCGATAGACTTGAGGCCATTGAGTTGGACGTACTGCTTACGGTTGTAAAAATACGACTTGAAGAGATTGACAACAGATTGTCTTCTGAGGCACAATCTGCTCAGCTGAGGCACAATCTTCAATGATGAATGCTGGGGTTACAGAAAGTACAGGTTGAAAACGAATTAGAGTGTGATAGAAAAAAATGCAAACTATGAAATTTCACTGATGAGATTTTTTTTAAATTGTTATTTAAATTTTTAATAGAATAGTGCTTCTTTATTTTCTCAGGATATGAATTATATATAATGATCTCATCATAATATATCGACTTTTTTCCAAAAGTTATTTATATTTTAGATTTTGACCGTAGTTTGATTTTTTTGTGGCAAGTTTATGAATAAGTCCAATTCGAATGAAAATCAAGTTTGATTTCTTCGCAATATTTTTACCAGAATGAATGTAACAGCTAATTTTAAGTTTGAAGAGTAAATTTAAGTCCAATAAATAGTTAGATTTATATAAGTTCAAAAATTCTTGTAATCATTTTGTTCTGTGAGGTATTCAGAGATTGTTATTGATATTAACGTTTTATGATCACAAGAAACGTACAATGTTTTCAGAGAGACAATAATAAAAAATAAAAAAATAATTGTGCAAGAATATCAACAACATTTAAAAAATTCTATCTCATGATTGAATCAGAATTATTGAAACAAATATGAACATTAAAAACCTAACCTAACCCCAGAAACAACCAAATAGCGCTCTGTATAATGGTATCGTTGTCACCCAGTATGAGAAAAAAATTATCTAGATTTCCACAAATTTCTGAGTCCATCTGTTGGCAGTGATTCAAAAAAAAAGTTATTTATTAATTCAATAACTTAAAACGCGTTCAGCTTCGTAACGGATTTTTCACAGGTTATCCTCATTGAAGCTCATGCATATATAGTACCTTCCAAATGGAATTCCAAACTTTGATAATAATTGATGACGGTAGTCTTGTTGAAGCTACATCTGTCAAACTAGTTGTCATTTTGGTGGATATATTTGAGTCCACTGGTTCAATAAACGATCGACCAACACCCGTACGCCAACGAAAAGCAAGATCTACCTAAAATATCGCCGCTGTCTGTGAGAGTGTGCAGGAGAATCTGAGGCAGTTGATTTCGCGTGTCTCACAATAACTCGGCCGTTCGCAGACCACAACTTGGCAAATTTTGTATCGTGACTTGAGCTTGCCCCCTGATAAAATTCAAGTGACCCAGGAACTGAAGGTAAACGACCATAGACATTGACATGTGTTCGCTGGATGGCCACGTGAACAAAACAACATTGACGAAATTGGGACGATACCAATCCATATGAGATCCAAAAGCGTCCAATGCATCTTGAAATAGTCACTGTTTGATGTAGATTTTGGGCTGGCGACGTCATCGGTCTATATTTCTTTAAGAACGACGTTGGCCAGGCTATCACTGTCAACGGCGAGCACTATAGGTCGATGATCACTAATTTATTTTGGCCTGAATTTGATGATCTGGACACATACAACATGTGGTAGTCAACATAACCTATGCCATCGGTCAAATTCAGCCTGATTTATGTGAGGACGTTTCGGATGTGCACCACCCGAAGAAGCCATGGCGGATATTTGAAAGATGTTATATTTCACACATAATAACATCAATAGGTCTTTCAAACGAATGAAAATTTTTGACGATATCTCACACACACTTTTTGTTTTATTCTAATTTAAATATAGGAAGCGCTTAATAAAAGACTCTATAAATGCATTCTGAACTTTCTATATTCTTCGTGACGGGATTTGATCAAAACAAAAACCATAGACGATATCGCAGTGACAGCATATGGATAGAAGTAAAATATCGCATAAAAAGTGATTGGAAGCGTAGGTTGTAGTTAATATTAAGTCCCAATTACTTAATTTTATCGCTACATTCAATCTCGTGATTGTCGACCATAATTTTGTTACTATCTCTCATAGTGTCTTTAGAATTCCCAAATATAATACAAGATGATTTGTTGGAATTCATGTTCAATGGTTTCTAGAAAAATACACCACGTTTTTTATATCGTTGTTGGAAGAATTCTCTTATATTCCACCAACTTTTCTAATTTACCTCAAAAGTAAGGAGTGCATTTCAAGTATTCTAAGTGTTTTGCCAAAATCAGAAGTGTACATAATGACGAGTAAATGGACCCTTGGGTTGCACCATCTGAGATTTGAATATATTCAGTTGTTAAACCGTTTATTACACACATTGCTCTATGCTTTAACTAAAAAATGATTTGATGAATTTTTGTCAGTAAACTGAAGTTTGGCACATAGAAGTTTATAATAGGAGAGCCCAAGAGGGGATTTCGGGATTTACTAAAGCGCGGCAGATTAATATACAGGGGAATACCTTGTACCCGCTTAGGTACCTCCACCAAATATGAGCCCCGTATATAAGGCCGCCAAGAAAATTGATCATCAGAGATTCTCGATAAGGTAGGGTGATTTAATTACCTGCTAAAAAGTGTATATTCCAGTAATCTGACAATTTGAGAGTGACGTAAAGAAAGGGAAGGGCAGCAAAGTTGTAAAAAATAACGTCATTTCGCAAATTTTTTTTATTATGAAGGAAATAATTCAAGGATAACGAAAAATATATAATCTGACGATTTCTGCAAGCCGAAATAACAAAAATTCGTCGATAAAGTTTTATGCGTGCAGCTGTGTGATACCTATATTTCCCTCTCCGAATATTTATTCCTCTATTTTCTATTCACTTTTTCTCTACCTATTACTCTCTCACTCCGTCCCCACTCTGAATTGTGAAAAATGAAGATGATGATTAATTAATCAATTATTTGATGGATGTACCCATTACTACGTGGTAGGAAATCATAATGAAGAAAAGAGAAGTGAAACTTTCTATGTTTTTCAGCACTTTTATTTGTAACTAACGTTACTGCAGTTTCGTCATATTAGGGCATTTTCGAACTTATACAATATATAACGAAACTGCAGTAACGTTATTTATAAATAAAAGTACTAAAAACATAGGAAGTTTCATTTCTCTTTTCTTTCTGACGCGCTCGAGTATGTCCATGCAACAGTATTTTTTTACATATTTAAAAATCTATAGCCGCTTCCCCCACCGATGAGAAGGTATATATTATGTAACATTTTTTTCTTGTTATCATTTAAGCTTTGCAACCTAAGATGTCTCAGTGACGCTCGAGTAAATCCCCATTTTGCATCGTGGGCTCCCCTGCTATTATGATTCATACTTGAGAAGTACATGATTCGTGATTGATTACTGGAGATTTTTTTTTCTAGCTCCCAAAATCGTTTCTGCTGCATCAAAAGTAAGGACTGAAGAGAATTTGGCAACTTCATACAAATTGTTCAATTTCTACTCTTACCTAGCATGCATCTGCTTTTGATTAGCTCGTGTGGTATTTCTTCTGACAGGATATCCAAAAGGCTTCTGAGTAACTCTCATAGAACTATAGTTGATAATTTTCTTGCCGCCTTCTGTTTTCTGTTGCGTCCTAGCCCTTCCGAATACCGAGCTGCCAGCTGTAATTTAAAAAGCGAAATCAACGACAGGTGAGTGCATATTTCATTCTGAAACCTTCAAGTGAGTACATCCATGTTTAAGTTAAAATATAGAAAAGAAACAAAAAACATACAACTGATAGGGTTCTTTTTCATAAACGTTCTTTTGAAAGGTAAAGCTTTGTCAGAATTAAAAAACTACTTCGAGAGGGTTATATTTCTAGGAGTGACTGATTTTTGGCAAAGAAAGTTTTTGGCTATCTACTAGTCTATGGGAATCTTCAAAAGAAAGGAAGTAATCAATTTTAAAAGAAGTAACTGTAAACATAGATGTGTAGATCATACAAAGACACAAATCTCGAAGAAAAAGCCTTCCTGAAACAGTTACTTTCATATAAACATTGGATTATACGAAAGAAAAAATCTTTCGTGTAATTCTAGAAAGATGCTTCCTAAGAAAAAAGTATTGAAACAATTTTTGTAGACAATTTCCCGATCTAAAATCTTTTTCTGAAACATTTTTCGGTAGCTCTTACTATTCAAGATAACAAATGCAAAAAACGCAAAAAACGAAAATTTGTGACATTTGACACTTAGAATGAAAAACAACGCACAGGTGCGATCAAAACGAATTTCATTCATTATGACGCATTATCGTTTCGCAGCAAGCTATGATGCGATCCCTCAACATTTCCTCGTTTTCAATGGGGCTAGCATAAACTAGTGATTTTAGGTGTCCCCAAAAGAAAAAATCGACGGAATTGAGGTCCGGTGACCTCGGGGGCCAATGCTTAGTGCCTTCTCTTCCTATCCATCGTTGATGATATGCTACGTCTGAAAATTTTTTGCTTTCACACTGAAATGAGGAGGAGTTCCATCGTGCATAAACCAAGAGTGATTTCTGAGACCAGTGGGAACATCTTCCATAAGTTGGGGAAGCTCGTGAAGCATGAAGCATTTTTGGACACAAGTTCATATAGACTTTTTTTCTTAAAATTATCTCAGGAATACGTCACTTGAATATTTCAATGTACTTATGTTACACCCTGTATGGGTACAACTTTCAGTTCAGAAGAGGAAAATTAATTGAATATATATGCTACTCTCGTCCTTCAAAAGTCTCCATTTCTAAAAGAGTAGTTAGAAACTAAAGCTTCTTCAAAGTATGGTAATCAATAACTTTAAAAATCAACATTATCTTATGAATTATCAGATTTACTTAGATAATTCGTCTCTGCTTGATATTTTTTCACTAGTAAATCATCTCAGAATAAATAAGTATGTGATGTAATTGATTTTATTTACGTGTTTCTACTGGAACTAAGCAATATATGGATAGATGAATCAATTATTTATAAAATTGAATCGCACCTATTATATTGGAGAAAGTGGAATAGTGGTAAATTATAAGTTATTCAACATTGACAAAAGTGTATTGATAATCATAAAAAGAAAGAATGAAAGGAGATAGTCTGAGCAGAAGTTTAAATATACAGGGCGTTCCAACGAAAACTTGACCCCCTGTAAGTCAGAAACGGACGTGTAGGTAATCGAAAATTTCAAAGAGCACGTCAATTCTTCGTTCTAGGGGGACTAACTTCACCCCCTTCAGTTAGCAACTACCCCCATATTTTTTTCAATGACATGGTGGGTCGAGTGATACATCATTCAAAAGATCCTTTGTCCCTCTATTACTTCTGTATTTTTTTCGAAATTATTTAAGAAAAAAGAGAAAATTCGCTGTCGTTCATTTTATTGAGGAAATCAACAAAAGTAATATCAATGACAACACAATCGATGGATAAAGTGTTCAAAATGATCTCCATCTAGTTCCTTACAATAATAGAGTCTACTTATTTCGAAAGCGTTCCCTATATTGTTGAAGATGTCTGTAGTCAGAAATCGGCATTGCCGAACAATTTTCTGTCGCAGGTCTTCTAGATTTGTAGAATTTATTCAATTAGTATCAAAAGTTTTGAAATGGACGACACTGTTAGTTTCTTCTGCACTGGTAGTTTTTGTTGAATTTAGTTGTCGCAGAACAAAAAGTAGGTAGTTGGCCACTGTCACTTCTTCACAAATTATTATTCAGTCATCCTTGTTCATTGTGTTCCAACATGGTTTATTCTACTGAAGAAAGAATAGAAATTGTTGCAGCCTATTATCGAAAGAATGAATGTGCTAAAGCTGCTGCAAGAATTTATAATACGAATCATCCAGACCACAACGAGAGCCATCAATACGTTACATAGAAGACCTGCGACTGAGAATCGTTCGGGAATGCCGATTTATGACTCCGGACGTCTTCAATAATGTAAGAAACGCTTTCGAAAGTAGACTGTATTATTGTATGGAACTAGATGGAGGTTATTTTATACACTTTATCTGTTGATTGTGTTGCTATTGATATTACTTTTGTTGATTTCCTCAATAAAATGAGCGATAGCGAATTTTCTGTTTTTTTCTTAAATAAAACGTTCAACATTTAATTTCTCAATAAGAATGAACGAATTCCGAAAAAAATTATAGAAGTAATAGATGGACATAATACCTTTTAAATGATGTATCACTAGACCCCCATGCCATTGAAAAAATAGGGGGAGTAGTTGCTGACCGCAGGGGGGTGAATGAAGTTAGTCTCTCTAAAAATGAAAATTGACGTGTTCTTTGAAGTTTCCGATTACACGTCCCTTTCTGACTTACAGGGGGGTCAAGTTTCCGTTGGGACGCCCTATATAGACATTGGTTGAAAATGTGAGCTTCTGTGGAGTTCTTTGCAATAATACTGGAGTTTTTTCCCAACACCAAATCGTTATTTCTAACACCTCGACACGTGTTTCGATCATCTTCAAGAGGAAGATCAAACCGGAAACTTCCCTTAGCTAATGCTATTTATGCTATACAGGTTTACCACACCTAAATTAATTTTACAATTTGCCTTATCTAGTATTTTAGAATATGTCCTTATGTAATGTTTAAATGTTATAGCTATATATAAAACAATTTTCAGCTATATAATAAATTAATTTCACAATATTGCTTATCTAAATTTATTTTTACAATGTGTTCTTATGAAGTAATCAGTAAATCCAATATTATTTTAACAAGCTATATAGTATGCTATTTGGTATTGGACCGTCTTGCGTCTTCCACTCTTCAGACTAACCAAATCTCATAATTCTTATTTGTATTTAGGTTTTAAAATGTTTAACGCCCTTCCATAAAAACATAAAAATTTCATTACTTTAAAAACATTTAAAAATCAAATGCGCAAATATTTAGTTTATCATTGTTTCTATTCTGTGGAAGAATTTTTGCTTCATGGAAGTGCATGTGTGTGTGAGTATTGATTTTTTATTTATTTTTTTATATAAATTATTTTGTTTTTTTATAGCATTTGTTTTGTTTTGTGTTTAATGACAAATGTAGACATGTTTTTATTGTATACACGAATAAATATATCTATCTATTTATCTATCTATCTATCATAATATTATTATGTTTACTTATTTCTACACTCTCATAGGCATCTAGTTGCCTGTTGTTGTTAACTTGTCTAACTAATCTTAATGAACTGAAGTCTATGGAATGGTTTTGTTGCAAAATATAATGAGCGACTGCTGATTTTTTAGATCTTCCATATTTCAAGTGTGCTATGTGTTCCTTATATCTTACTTTAATAGATCTTTTTGTATGTCCATAATATTTTGCATCGCAGTCTTTATATTTAATTTCGTAAATTCCAGACTTTACCGAATTCTCGACTTTGTCTTTTGGACTTCCCAAAAGGCTTTGTAGTGTATGACTTGTTTTAAAAACCACCTTCATACCTAGTTCCTTGAAAATCTTTCCAAAGTTCTTAGTATATTTGTGGTATGGAACTGAGATGTATTTATCTTGGTTTGTGTCCTTTCTGAAAGTCGAGAATTCGTTCATTCTTAACCTAAACTTCTTTTTATATATACATATAAAATTTGAACATTACATACGGGCATATTGTAAAATAATACATACGGCAAATTTTAAAATTGATTTAGATGTGGTATACCTTTATGTGTGGTATACCTGTATGGTTTACCTGCATGGTATACCTGTATAGCATAAATAGCGTTAGCTTAGGGAAGTTTCCAGTTCAATCTTCCTCCTGAAGATGATCACTTGGTGATCGAAACACGTGTCGAGGTGTTAAAAATAACGATTTGGTGTTGGGAAAAAACTCCAGTAATATGCAAAAAAGTAATAAGGAATATCTCACCCTGACCGAATAAAAGACACTGAAGTATTTCAATAGTTACTTTACGATTCGAATTTCATAACATAATTAATTGTGAGCATTACATTTAGGAAACCATTCCTGAGTTTATTGGGGTTTATTTTCAATTTAGTTTTATTATATAAGTTGTGTAGTAATAATAAGAAAGTTTACGAGTATTTCCTGTGTGTTTCCTCCTCGTTTGAGCAACAGCATAAACCACCGCCGCCAAACTGCTATAATGGCTCGGCTGTCTTTGGAAACTCGGAGGCCGTTTTATTTGTCTGCCGATGACGAAGTAAGTTTCCATCTGACCTTTTCCTTTGACGTCGATGATTCCACGCTTCTTGAGTTCGTATCCTCTCATGCCTAATATCTGAAATCAAATTGGTTGCAAGTAGTTCTGAGGAAGGTTAAAATATTCTTGACGTTATGAATTATTCTATTACTCGACTCAAATCGAAAGAGCTGAAGGTAAATGGAATTTGAAGAGATTGACAGTTCGATATTTATGGAAAAGGTTTTGGCTTTCTACTTCATCATATTTATACAGAAAAAAACTCGAAATCAACCTCTTTCTCAAAATAATTTATAACTTTTAGATCAAATGAGAGTTTGAACAAAATCAATTGAACACGAGCCACTTAGCCACTTCTTCAGCTTACTTTTCGTTCAGTTAGATTTGGTTCTCAAAATTGTTGAAATATTTACATTTTCAGACATCTGGCATTTTTTTCTTATCTTTCTGGTCATATACTCTGCCGAATGACATTTGCTTTCTCTCTTCCTACTGATTAAAAAACATTTGTAGATACTTTGATAATTCGAAACGTCGAGAAGTTTGGAGACATTTATATGCTCATACTTTTCTAGACATTAAAAAAATATACTTTTCTAGAAAAATAATTCGTCCAAAGGATGATTTGGCAACATGGCAGTGATGAACTACTCATTTTTGATTTCTGCCGATAACAGGGAATAGGTAAGCAATTAAATTCATTCAAGAAATAAACCACCTTTTGATTCATTTTTTGTTTGATTCACTGATAAAAAAAGTACAGATTACTTTGAAACAACTTTATAGACGGTAGACAAGTACTGATTAGTATCTATTTTTTTTCGAATCATATACTTTATGATAGAGTATCATCAATGACCTATATAAAAAATAAACATTGTATTTGATGATGACTTTTGATGACAGAACCTAATGAAACAAAAACAACTGACAGAAACGGTTTGTTTCGGTTTCGGTTAAACATGGTTATCTCTCCTGAGAAAAGGAGTTAATAGAACTAGACAAATTTCACATAAAATAAAATTCTCAACATTCAGGGCTGTATATGTCAAACCTGTCCTTGAATTTTCCAAAGACAGTGAATTGAATTGAATTCTTGCGATGTTCCAGGCTACCAAGGTTGCACGTGATATTCGCGTCTCCAATCAGGCGGATGGCTCTTTTCTGGATGGAATCCAGCAACTTCGGGGTATCTTTGGGGACGGAGCTCCATACATGAGAACAATACTCCAAAGAAGGTCTGATCTGAGCTTTATGAAGCATCAAAAGTTGCTGTGGTGTGTACAGTTTTTGAAAAGTAACCGTTGCAATTTCAGCGACATGTTTGCGCCAAGACATATTGGTATCCATTCAACCCCCAACAAATTTATTGAAGCAGAAAGTGGAATTGTCTGTCCTGACATTATTATATCATTTCAAAATGATATATGGTTTTAGGTGATTGAAAAATAGAACTTATAAAACCAAGTGAACCACACAAACCACACACCATAGAATAGCATTGCACATAACATTTCGTAACCCCCCCTATACAATAACTTTGGCCGTATCAATCATTCTATCCGAACGAGGTACGAAAAAACGACGCACACAATATCCTAATTTAAAACGACATCCGACATGATTTATCAACGATGGAGAATTTGACGACTTCTGAACATGATAATTGAATTCTATAACATGTCAAACGAAGGGAAAGTTCCTGATTATTTAATTTTGCAATAATGAATTCTTTATCTGGGTTATGATACAAGTGCGACACTTGGAAAAGTAGATCCCATTCGCGTTTGTTTTGGTAAGGTTAGGTTAGGTTAGGTTGGGTTAGGTTAGGTTAGATTAGGATTCAATTTGTTAGTTTGTTTCATTTTCAAAGGAAATGAAACTGTTTTCTTGTATTTCATCAACTTCTTTTGTCTGGTATGAAATAGCTGATATTTTTGGAAAAAAAGTTATTCGGCCTGGTATCTATCAGATCCCATTGGTTGACGATGGCAATTCTGGTAGTTTATCTCCAAATTTGTTCAAGATTTAATCTAATCAACTTCAATAAAAAAATGAAGATGATCTTTTCTAAAATTTGTCTGTCTGTCTGTTTAAAATCTGTCCGTTAACCAGCTGTCGCATCCCTACGAACGACAACCTTCATTAGTCGAAATTTGTGCGAGCTAACTAACGACTAACGAGGTCTTACCTTTTAACATGAGATTCCTAACACGGGTTGAACGATAGCAAGTGAAAATTTATCGTTCAGCCTTGCCTTGATCCAGCGACCAACACGGCGATCGATTTGAGTGAGTGAACGAAGCACCCACGTTGAACCGACCGGCTACCGACCGACCAAATATATATGATTATATTCTTCAAACAACATACGTTTTTCGTTTACTAGGTGTACCTCTATATTTTGACATTCTTTACATAGGTATCAATTTTTACCACTCAAAATTCAGAATAATATCTTCCCCATCTGAAGAAAAAGATACCTGAAATACATGTTTATGAAATGGTCATTCTCGCTAATCTGGTGCAGAGTATATATTTGCTGAACAGGCCTTGAAGGCCTTGATCATAATGCATTTGCCTGCCTTTACGACTACTTCTTCAAAGTATCTCTTCAGCTTCAGTTCCTATCTCTCCAATTTAGGACGCTCATTCTTTGCAAAACCTTTGTATGTTTCCAGCCATCTTGGCCAGTCTATTATTTCACAATTCCTAAACATGTCCTATCCATCTGATGCTTTGTGCTTTTATTACTGCTGATATCTTTGGTGCTTTATATAAATCCTTCAACCATTCAAGAGTTCTTCTGCTCCAATCCTCTTCTGTATGTACCCCTACCTCATTCTCCCAACTTTTCTTCTTTACTCTTCTTCAGAACCCATGTATCTCATGTATATATAGCTGTTCCTCTGAAAGTGACTGATATAATCTTTCCTAAGCATTTCTTGACTGAAATTTCGATTTTAATAATGTTCTTAACATTCATATTTCTGATTTCCTTTCATGATTCTTGTTTCTATTCATCGATTTTCGTGGTCATTGTCTCTCAATTCCCCCCTGAATATGTAAACTCTTCAACTTTTTCGAAAATCAAGATTTGTTCTTTCCCAATTGGTACCTTCAAATCAGTATCATCGTCTTGCTTTATATCTCTCATTACCACGTACTTTTTCTGGTCGATTTCCAATCCAAATGCCTTTCATTTCTCAGATATTTTCCTTGCGATTCGTTCCAATTCTTTTTCAATTTCTGCTAATATTGTTACATCATTAGCAAATGTTATGCGCTGGTGCCCAGAGGTCGAGGGTACTATTCCATGGTCGAGGGTCTATGGTCCCCGTCGTTACTTCCCCAAACAACATTCAACCGACACTAATTTAAATACCGACAATAATTTAAATACCATTGTCAAGATTTGAACACTGCAGATTTGTAAAAATATATGGAAATATAATTTTTTACCTACTTGGGCCGTTTCTTTGGGCACTTGTATGGCACCGATGACTCCTGTCGAGTCCATTCGGGAGGCGAGGTTCACAGTGTCTCCCCAAATATCGAAAACCGGTTTTCTTGCCCCTATTACTCCGCATACGAGTGGTCCGCAAGCGATACCTATCCTCAGTCTGAAGTTGTTGAAGGAATCCTTGTTGATGGCCTCCAATTTGTGACGCATCAACATGGCGAAATCCACCAGGGCGCAGAGATGTTCCGGGCTGTCTGAATTCCGACAATCCTATGCAAAAAATGTAAGAGGTTGTGTTGAAAAATTATCAGGTAAAAGCAAACAAAATTTGAAAGTAAAAGTATTCTATTAGCCAAAACAATATTGTTGTAAATCAAGCCCCAAAGAAAATAACTACGGCCGCCACTGGTAGCCATAAACCATTGGTGACGTAGCTAAGAGCGCGCGAATGTATGATGTTCGCTGCCGCTCTAGATGTAGCGAGAATAATGCTACCGATTTTGACGAAATTTCGGAGAAATTTTCTAGCGCATTCGATTACGATATATAAACGCCAGCCGCGAGCATATCGACAGTCGAGTGGAAGTTACAGTGCGGTACGCGAGGTGATCTAGTAAGGCGATAGACATTCGAATAATAGTTGAAGTTTAAGTTGAATTGATTGTTGCATTTGAAGTGAAATAAAGTTAAGTTTGATTATAGTTCAGTGTAGTCAGTCAACCCACGGAGAAAAACGTATCAATATTTTATTTCTTACAATCAGAACAGCTGAACTGCGACGAATCCAAACAAATCTCGGTCTGCAAACAGGTCTTCACAACTATTATCACCTCCTTGTTGGAAAAAATCATTCAGGTTTTTTTTCGAACGAAATATGATAGTCCGATGGAGCCAGATATGGTGAATAAGGGGGTGTTCGAGTCATTCGAAGAAACCTATAACAATATACAATTTGTGTGCAGGGTCGTTATCCTGCAACAGGAAAATACCTTTGGACAACTTTTTGCGTCTTCTCTCTACAGTTTTTGTTGTGGAGTGTTCGTTTATGTCTTGTTCTAACTACATTTCAGTTAGTACTAACCTTCAAAAGGAAACTATTGAAATTTCATGATATTCTACTCATAAGTTCGTGACTTATTGTGCTGAGAGTAACACACTTTTGTTATTTTCATTGATCAACAACAATTGATCGTCATTTGAGTGGAGAGCAACTGGTGAACCTCGTCCAAAAGCACAACAATCGAGTGGAAAGGTTATGTCTTCGGTATTATGGGATGTGCGTGGTGTAATATTCATCAATTATTTTGAAAAGAGAAATTCCATCAACAGTGAATACTATATAGCGTTATTGAAGCGTTTGAAGACCAAAATTGCAAAGAAAAGTAGAGAGGACTGGATCCTCCGGGAGAAGGAAATAATAAGAGCAGATAGTTGTTGGTTCACAGATGGATCAAAAACACCTGCTGGTTCTGGTGCAGGTGTTTTCAGTCGCAGACCCAGGACAGAGACATCAACCTGCCTAGGAATCTATGCGACTGTATTTCAAGTGGAAATTTACGTTATTGAAATGTGTGCGGAGAGATCGGAAGAATCCAACCTCACACACAAGTCAATCAAAATATTCTCGGACAGTCAAGCGGCGTTGAAAGCTCTTGGCTCCTACCGAGCAACATCTAAATTGGTAGCAAATTGGCTAAACCGACTCTCCTCGATAGAAAGACTTAACAAATTGTCTCTGGTCTGGATTCCTGGCCACACTGACCTGGAAGGCAATGAGGCTGCTGAACCCCTTGCAAAGCAGGTTCATCGGACCAGAACTTGTCATTGGCATTGCTTTAGGCTTTGCCAAATGAAGATTGAACATCTGGATGGCAAGAAGACTTATAGACTTTTGGCCCAATCTTCCAGGATTGGCTCAATCCAAGGCGTTTATTGACCCTTCGAAGCTTGATACCAAACAGTTGTTGGACTACAGTAGAGGTCACAGGTCACTGTCATTTAAATCGTCATATGCAGAGACTCGGACTGTCGGAAGACAGTGTGTGTCGCCTCTGTTTGGAAAATGATGAAACAGCAAAGCACATACTTTGTGCCTGCCCCGCTGGGGACTGAATCAGGTTTTTTCAGAGTTCGGCAGAGCCGTACTTATCATCTGATCTGAAAGACCACTCACCATACAAACGAATCGGCTTCGTTAAGAATCTGGGTTTATTTGGTAGAGTGTGAATAGATGTGAGCCACAATAAACCCTTGCGGGTTGCTATGGAGGGTCCACTCACTTTGGACCTAACCTAACCTAACTTTGGAGAACCAGAGTGCCTCCATTTCTTCGATTGCCTTTTTGTTTCAGACCGAACAAAATGCTTCTGGTCAACATTTGGGGATCAAATTTGCAGAAATTCAAAATCGACGTGAACTGTATGATGAACGTGATCATAAAAAGTATTCAGCGAGTACCTCAGATTTTTGCTTGAACCCAATTCAACGGTTTCATAAACTTAATACGTGAACTGCATCGATAATTACAGGGCTGAACATGTAAACTAGTTTTCTCGATGGGTATTTTTCTTCAGAGGAAAATTGATCCCTTTGATCTCCAAGAATATCAAGCAAATTTTCGCAAATCTGCTTACTTCCTAACTTCTTCAAATATAATTACTTTTCGATCGCCTGATCCTCTGATTTTTCAGTTTTCATAATTTTGGTTAACATCCTGTTTTCAAATTTCATTGCGTAACTCGGTTCGACACTGATATGTCTAATAAGTTATTGCTCAGTGTTATGGTATCGTAGTATTTTGTTTATTCCCGGAAGCGGCTCAGAAAGTAATGATACTTACCCGTGTAGTCCTAATTTTTTTTCCAAAGCAGGGGCAAACCCCAATTATCCAGTCACACGGTGCAAAATACTTGAAACTGTACAATGAGCTTAAGGCAGATCCAATACTAGTAATAACACAGTTCCGTAGTACAACTTTTAAAAAGATTTCAAAATCATCATACCAAGTAGAGAAGACTGACAAAACGACCCATCGGTGAAAGCGGAAGTAACTTGGCTCAAAGACCCAAGAAGGAATGGGAGCCTGTATTTACGGAGGCAGAGCGAAGACGAGAATCGCACTTAGCTTTGGACATAATGCAACTGGAAGTGGGCAGAAGTAGCGGTCATCGAACACTGTAGAGGGGAAATAAACAGGCAGAAGTTCACAAATAAAACCATTGCCATTTTCTTCGACGGCCAGGCGGCAATTGAGGCGCTCAGCTCATTTCAAGTCTTCTTAAGACTTGACCCAAAATAGGGTCAATCTAGCTTGGGTACCTGGAGATGAAGGTCACAAAGGCGATGAGAAGGCCGATTTTCTAGCCCGTGAAGGAGCATCCAAAGCTACGATCGTCCCAGAACCCTTCTGCGGAGTAGCGAAAGACACATGGATGCAAGCCGAATCGATAGATTGGTGGAATAAGCTCCCAGGAATGATGCAGGCGAGAGAGTTCATAAAGGAACATCGCCCAGATTCACGGAAGACCTGCTAAACTACAACTGCAAGCTTGTAAGGGTAGTGGTGGGTCTACTGACGGGCATGGCTGACTCAGGAAACATAAGAGCAACATGGATCTGACAGAAGAAACCCAATGCAGGTTATGTCAAGAAGAGGAAGAAACTGCACTGCATGTGCTCTATGAATGCGAAGCGATAGCAAGACTGAGACACGCAAGATGCGGGGAAGAGAAACCAGAGTCTCATCAAAGAGATCCAGCTAGACAATGAGCTCTAACAACCAAGGATCATCACAATAGATCTGAAAAGGTCGTAGTGAATCAGGCCATGGGCTAACTCCCCGACAATTTTACCTAATCTCCAATTCATATAAATCTGGATACTTCTGAATTACGGTCAGTTTTTTACTTATTAGTGGCAAGATAGATCTCTTTGATCATTGCCACATCGTCTTCGATAACGTCCTTATTATTTGGTCTTCGACTCATCTGGACCGCACAGAATGCTGCCTAATAATATCATAAGCCTGCTCGACCATATCAATAAAATGAAAATCCAATTGAGTTTCTCCTGTAGAAAAAAGTGTTCAAACTTCAGGTACGTTTCGGGCGCTTGTAACTGAACATAGAATTCCAAAAAGTTCTATAAGTGATGGGTACTTCATTCCATCAAACAATATCCCCAAAAGATAAAGATAACATATATGGTTTTTGTTGATTGTCTTATAGACAATCCATTATTTTTTCCAAAAACTTAAGGTATTATTTGTTTAAAAAAAATCTGTTTTTCTGTTAACTGTTAACCAGCTGTCGCACCCCTACGAACGACAACCCTCAGAAGTCGAAACTTGTGCGAGCTAAGGATTAACGAGGTCTTACCTTTTAACGTGTGATTCCTAACACGGGTTGGACGATAGCAAGTGAAGATCGATCGTTCAGACTAGGGCTTGAACCACCGACCAACACGGCAGTCAATTCGAGTGAGTGAACAAATCACCCACGCCAAACCGCTTGGCTACCGACCGGCTATACACCTCAGACATTGAAAAAACAAAAATAGTAACAGAAGCTGAAGCATAGCTAAAGTAGAGAAAGAAAAGCATAGCTGAAGTAGAGAAAGAATATCACTGTGAATCAAAATACAAATGAATAAGAAAAAATTCATAAAAGAAAGTTGTCTGAGGATCTGGAACAAGTACAAAGTTACCAGTAAGAGAAATTATCAAATTATTAGAATAATCTGTCCCCAATGCAGGAAAAAATTCTCTACGAAAGACGATGGACTACTGATAATATCGTCATTATTACCGGTCATAGCCAACACACAAACGTTAGAAACGGTTATTGAATAAGTTCACAAGAATCCCCTTTTGTTTTTAAGATACTTGACGACAAGTTCACAGAAGGGAACCACGGAGATACAGAACTTATAAGCTTTCTGCAATACCTCATTGTTGAAGCCTAATAATACATTGAATTTATAGGAGCTTACTTTGTGCGTTGGATTGAGACCAGATGCTGCCATATATGTAGCTGTGGCACTAACTGTTTTAATTTTTTCTATAGTGCTGAATCGTTCTTCATCTAGTAGTTCATCGAAATCAGCTGAAAAGTAAACGTAGTATTGGTTAGAAAATAATATCGTTGTTCTACCTTTGTATATTTGCGAGTAGAAGCGAAGAGAAGGAACAGAAACATGTAGGAATGTATTACTTGGGATTTACTTGAAGCATTAATCAATGGCATAACAGTAAATTTCAATTAGTAATATAAACATTGATGGATCGGAGAAAATTTTACTGTTAACACTTCTCTTGATAGTAATGTGAAATGACATAATTCGGTACTGATATTTTTTTAAGGACTACAGGAAAATCCGCCCTCAGAGCGGTGCCTATGCGAAAGTGGCGATTCACATTGGATTTGAATCGCTGGAGATTAAATTTATTTGGAAAAACGTATGTGGAAGTTTATTTCACATAAACGCAGCTCTCCAGATGAAAGAGTTCTTAAACAGTGAAGTTCGGGGTGTATTGAGTTGAACCTCAAAACGATAAGCAGTCATATTCCGTCGCGTATTTCTGATATGTACCGATCTTGTTGGAACCTCCCGTGGAATAATCTATAGGAGAGACAAATCTCCAACCTTTATTCGATGTTCCAGGCTATCAAGGTTGCACGTGATGTTTTCATTGTTCTAGTTCCAACCAAGATGAATCAAAACCACATTAGCAAATCATTTCAATCAATAATGCCTACAATCAGATTGGACACACCTTAGATATTGATTAACCATCAAAAACAAAAATCACACCTAGATATTTTGAGTATGATTTTTGATCATCTCTTACATTAAGAATGGCAGATTTATCCCACACAATTTGTATATTTCACCCTGTATACCATAGTACAGCACATAGCCTGTGGCTTAATTTGAAATGGTTATATCTAAGATTCGAGAAATCAAATACATTTTAATCATTTCATCTGTTATATATAATCGTATCATTTTGAAAAATTGCTAAATGAATCAATCTGTTGGATATTGGAAAGAGCTAAAACTAAGGCCAATATTATTTACGTTATCGTTCAAAATCTGAAAACCTATGAGAATTTTGTTGATTCCAATAAGTGTTTTTGGTAGTTACTATTACTTCTTAGAAATAACTTTTTTCATAACAAATATACATTCCATGAAATCGGGATTATAGTCTGAGAATTTGTTTCATAATTTCATTAGCATACCTATTATTTCATTCAAAAGCCTTATACACTCCACACCTTTGTTGATATCTTCTGAGTAGAAATCCGTGAAGTTTGGTATACTTCCAAATAACACTCCCACTTCGTGTCGATACTGAGCGTAAAGTTCCTGAAAAATATACTCTTCATGTACTTCATAAAAATCATTGACCTCATAAAAAAATTGAAACAATATGTTAATGCACTTTGTAATATCATCTCCCTACAATTTATTTTAGATACTAGTGCAATATTGTTAGTTATAAGTAGTTGAACTAGTTTTACCTCACTATTTCTATCGCTAGATAAGAAATGCTGTGCCACATGGTCAGGTAGAATGTTTTTCAACAGCTGCGTGTTATTATGTCTAGTTTCTTCCATGTCATTAAGTTCTCTTTCAGCTTGTTGCTTCCATAGAAAGTCTAGCCTTGACGTAACTTCTACCAGCCTGGCATGATACGCCACCATGAGAAAAAATACCACTAGTAATATAAACATCTGGGCAGAAAGTGGAATGAAGAGCCTGAAGATGTTAAAATCATATTCAACAATAGCTTTAGAGATTAAACAGTGATAAAAAAACTAAAGCACATACAGTTTCTGATCTACACTTTCATAAATAAGAATGAATGTATATCTGTTTAAAAAAATATGTTTTTCCGTTAATCAGGCCGTTAATATGGGCAACATAATTGATTAAAAAAATGAATAGGTATCGCAAGGATCAATTCTGGGACATGTTTTGTGTCTTATATATTTCATTTTTTCGGTACAGTGAATTTATTGGAAAAATTATAAGATTTTCTGATCACGCCACGTTAATTTACAATGGAAATAGCGCACGATAAATTGAAATTAATATTTCAAAATATTAGGTGGTTTCAAAAGCTTCGTCCGTTTTAATGTCATGTGTTTTTGTAGCTCCATATCTCAAAAAATATTTATCCTACTATGTCGTGGTATATACTGATCGATAAATAATTTTGTACTCAAAATAAAAAAAAATTTTATTAAAATAAAATATCTACACATTTTATACTCTATACAATGATACTGTTCATTTTTTTCCAAATGCTTCTTGGCCAATTTTTTTCTACGGATTCAAATTGAACCAAAGCGCTGTCGAAACAGCCCGAAAAGTTAGCCAGGCATTTGGCAATGATAGTGTTAGTTCGATATTGGTTTGTCAAATTTCGTTCTGGGTATTTAAGCTCCGAAAACGGAGACCTAAAGTAATCCAGGACGAGGATTTAAGGACCCTGCTGGACACTGACTCATCAAAAACGGTGCGTAGGATGGCGAAATAACTGGACGTCAGCCCCTATGCGGTTTTTGATCGTTTAAAACGTATTGCTTTTAGGCAACCAAAACGATCCCCGTGTTTCGACCACCAAGTGATCATCGACAATATTTATGAATGGAGCATCACAAACAAATTGAAATTCAATATTAAAAAATGTAGCATCATCATAACAACTCGTTTGAAGGATCCTGTAATTTTTGATTATATGATGGATGGGGAAGTCCTCCACAAATGTTCTGAGGTTAGAAATCTTGGAGTAACTTACAATAGTACCCTATCCTTTGCCAAATATATTCAAAATATAGTCAAATCGAGTGTTAGGATTCATTATTAGACAAACTCGGGACTTTACGAATAACAATAATATAAAATTATTATACTACTCACTTTTGAGACTCAAATTGGAATTTGCAATTATAATATGGTCAGGTGAATATTGAACACAATCAATGCAGCCGAGAAAATACTAAATAAATTGCTCAGGTATTTATATTACAAATAGTATCGTATTATGGCTGCCTTTGATCCAGATCCAATCTATTTAGAAATGACTTTGAAGTTATCTCTTTAGAAACTATTTGATCCCTCACCATGATGTATTTTTTGTATAATGTAATAAACAAGAAACAATGCCCCGTTCCGTAGAACTCGGATAACTTATCAGGTTGGCTGTCCTTGTTCATCTTTCACTGCCTGAACCATTGTGCATGCTGTTTTCGGCGAGTGTATTGGCTTGGGATGTGGGGGTTGAGCAAACCGGCCATCGGATGCCTGCTTCCACGTAGCCCCGCTGGATACGGAAATGACAGAAACACTTGTAGTTCTGTTATTCCCTAACTGAATGGCATCCCAACTATGGCCTAATCCTAATGTGTGTGTATCCGTGCCAAGAGGATGAATGACACTGAGCCTATCCGCTGTCTTTACGGAACCTTCGAGATACCAGGCGTCCTCTCTTCGTAGCATCGCCTTGTCACGTTAATGCAGGGCTCTGCCGTGATTGACCTTCTTTCCCTAGCTACTCGTGGGACTTTCATGGGCAGAGTAAACTTAAAAATCTTTCTGACGCTGAATCTATAGAGGAGATGGATGCTGAGCCTACGACTCCAATTGACCTCCCTGTAAATTCAATTCAGGAGCGAGTCTACAAAGGAGATGGATGTCGAGTGTACGACTCCAACGGACCTCCGTGTAAATTTAGTTCAGGAGCGAGTCTACTGAGGACATGGATGTCGAGTTTACGACTCCATCTGACCTCCCTGTAAATTTTATTCAGGACCGAGTCTACAGAGGAGATGGATGTCTAGTTTACGACTCCAATGGACCTCCCTGTGAATTTAGTTCAGGAGCGAGAGCTTCTCAACTGCCCAACTCCTGATCCAACAACTGAACCTCAAAAAAAGGTTTGGTGGTGCAGCCAAGATACGACTGAGTCGTCTCCTCAAGAGCGGGGTACCTTATGAAACCGCCTTGCACCAAATTTTCGAGCGGCGTACGCAGAATCTGTCTCAAGTGAAGTAACAAACTCCCCATGAGCAGGTTAGCAAATGTTTGCGCTCAAAGTGATGATTCACCAAAACCAGAGGCGAAGAAGCCCTGTACAGCTGAATCTAAGGCATCGTCAGGTGTAGCTGACGTGCAAATACCCTCATATGGGAAGGTTGTCGTGGGTATCAAGGCAGGAATCTTGCAACTTGACTATCCGACTACCTCATTGATAGGCCACTCACCATACAAACTAATCGTCTTCGTCAAGAAGCTGGGTTTATTTGGCCGAGTGTGAATGGGTGTGAGCCACAATAAACCCTTGCGGGTTGCGGTGGAGGGTCGAATAGACCCACTCACTTTGGACCTAACCTAATTTAACCTATCCATTCGATATTCCGTTGGTGGTTACAACATAACCATACTACCATCCGTTCATGAATATGATTTTCTATCCATAAGCTAATTTACATATATTATTATTATCGATTTTATTGCACAACCATATTCAATAAAGAAGTACATATTCAACGTCAAAGTTTTTTGAGTAGGTACACAACGGACTATCATGATTATAATTATTGAAATGTAAAGATTATTTTATATTCATTATCCATGTAATTAGACCTTCGGTCTGTTTGGATACAAATAAATAAATCTTCAAGAGGAAGATTGGTGGTGGGATGAATCTCCAGTAATATTCATTACCACACCAAAGGTTCCAAACAGTGCTTCACGAAAACGACCCTTTTTTGGATCTGATGAAAAGTGGATCCTCTGCCATAACAGAAGACGTTCAGGTCAGTGGTAGGACACCGACGAACCACCCAGGCACTTTCCAAAAGAGACCACCACCAAAAAAACCATGGTGACTGTATGGTGGTCAGTGGCTGATGCGATTCATATTTTCTGCAACCGGGTAAAACCATCATAGCAGAGTCCTATTGTGAGAAAATCGACGAAATGTTTCGAAAATTGCGTCAGCAACAGCCAGCACTGAGCAACAGAAGAGGTCCAATCCTGTTCCACGATAGTGCTTGTCCGCACGTTTCACAAATTACCGTCAGAAAATTATTGAGCCATTTTTTCATGCACTTCGATAACTTGACAAAATGGTTAAAGATTTCGCGGCCGAGATTTTCAGTGTCACTAGTGTTTCGGGTTCATAGGCCGTCAATTTTTGGAATTTCTTCCAGCATCAGGATTAAAATGGTGCTTACTTCGATGAAATCGAATAACTATTGACTGAGATATTACAGTTTCAAGTGGACTGACTCCATTTGGAACGGAGGTGAATAATCTTGGCATTGTCCTTGATAAAAGACTCATCTGGAACACTCACTTGGAAAAAGTTTTACACAAAGCCAGACTGTCTCTATGAACATGTCGAAGGGTTTGTGGCAAAACTTGGGGTTTAGGTCCCAAACAAATCCATCGGTTTCATAAGATGATTGTCAGGCCAATGATCACTTATGGTGCAATTGCCTGATAGCCGAAAGCTTTACAGAAAACGGCCCAAGCGAAGGTCTCTGGCTCATAGAGACAGGCTTGTCTAACTATCAGTGGTGCCATCAGTACCATACCATCAGCGGCATGGAGATCATTCTAGATCTACCTCCTCTCCAAATTTTTCTGGAGATAGAGGCTAGATGGGCTGCATACAGACTTGTGCACATTGCCAATTACACAAATCAATTTAATGCAGAGTGCAACAGACTGTTGGTTGACACTGGAAGTCACAGCATTCTGGAAATGACCTCTGACTTTATGCCTCCAACTGTCAACTACGAACTGCTTTATAAAGTACTTTTCCCGAGTAGAGAGGACTGGATCCTTCGGGAGTTATTGGATCACAGATGGATAAAAAAAACACCTTCCGGTTCTGGTGCAGGTGTTTTTAGTCGCAGACCCAGCACAGAGATATTTACCTGCCTAGGAACTTATGCGACTGTGTTTCAAGCGGAAATTTACCCTATTGAACTGTCTGTGGAGAGATTTTATAAATTCAACCTTACATACCAGTCAATAAAATATTCTCGGACAGTCAAGCGGCATTGGTAGCTCTTGGCTCCCACCGAGGAACGTCTAAATTGGTAGCAAATTGCCAAAAAACACTCTCCTTGATAGAAAGACTTAACAGATTGTCTCTGGTCTGGATTCCTGGCCATACTGGCCTGGAAGGCAATGAAGTTGCTGACTCCCTTGCAAAGAAGGTGCTGCAAACAGCTTCATCGGACCAGAACCTGTCATTGGCATCGCCTTAGGCTTTGCCAAACAAATATTGAATACCTGAATGGCAAGAGGATTTATGGTCTTCTGGCAGAATCTTCCAGGATTGGCTCACTCCACCCTTCGAAGCTTGATACCAAACAGTTGTTGGACTACAGAAGGGATGAACTACGATATCTAACAGGTCTTCTTACAGGTCATCATATGCAGATACTTGAACTGTCGGAAGACACTGTGTGTCGCCTCAGTTTGGAAAATGATGAAACAGCATAGCATATACTTTGTGTCTGCCCCCTGGGCACTGAATCAGGTTCTGAGAGTTCGGCAGAGCCGTACTCTTACCATCTGACCTGAAAGACCACTCACCATACAAACTAATCGTCTTCGTTAAGAAGCTGGGTTTATTTGGCCGAGTGTGAATAGGTGTGAGCCATAATAAACCCTTGCGGGTTGCGATAGAGGGTCGAACAGACCCACTCACTCTAGACCTCACCTAACCTAACCTAGTCTCATAAAAACGGACAAAACTTTCGAAAAACCTAATACCTTAACCAAATATCACTATAGATTCAATGTTCATATACGTACATATCAAAGAGGTCTTTATTATTTGAATGAAAAAATCCAATTGAATTCCATAGTGAAAATATTAAATACTCTCTCAGTGCGAAATTTCTCAGTCTCGAATTGAAAGAACAAAATCCGGGCTAGTAGACCGTGTCTGTGGCAGACGAAGTTTAAAATTTATCTCGAGCGCAAGTAAAGAAATAAAGGAATAACCATTCAGATGTTCCATACATAAGTTGAGGAACCCTGTATATCCAAAACATTGATTAATTATCGCTATCGCTTTCTGTTAAACTGTTATTTCTATCACAAAATAAGCCCACGTACGGAATTTATGGATATTTCGAATTGCTATAAATAACTTACTCTGGCACGGTTATTGAAGATCCTCGTTCGTTGAAGACATTGGATGGCAAAATGATCAAGATGGCGTAAACTGTCACCATAACGAAAGCCAGTAAAAGTTTTATCAGGTAATATAACTTGAGAGCAGTAGCCAGTGCGATCAAACAAAGCACCCACGTGAATACGATGTATTCCGGGTGTTTGCAGTCAAATTCTATCTGCTCCGATGATTGAGTACTATTGGAATTCGGGACTGTTTCTGTTAATACATCTATAGTTGAATCTGTCGTAGAGTATGTTGAATTTGCTGTCGTGTTGTTCGTCGTAGATTCGATCTCTCTTTTTTTCCGACGAAGTCTGCTTTTCAACTCCTTGAGAGCATCTGTTTGGGTCATTAAACCCCTTGTGAGGTTAGTCAACTTCTGGTTCAGATTTTTGACAATTGTCGAGGTCTTGTTGGCCAACTTCGAGATATTCGCCGCGTCTTCGATGATACCGTTTATATCAATATTTTCGAGGACGCCTTTGATGCAACTTCCACTACAGTCGGTTCTGTTTGCGAACAGTATAGTGAAGTTGTTGTTGAAAGTTGCTTCCAGCTTCAAGTTGACAACCAACGAGAAGTTGCTGTCGTCACTCAAATATTGACTCTGAACTCGTTTATTGTGTACTGGTTCGTCGTTTTCTATATTTATTAAAGTCAAAGAACTCGTCAGAGACATCAGGATGATGACGCCACAAATAAACGCAGTTCTCCTTTTTCTCTTGTGGACTAAAGTTTCTGAGGTTCGTCTCAGGAATTCTGGGAATTGTTCGAATTCCTCCGCCATTACCAGAATTGATGTGGATATCAGGATGATCGTTGTGATTACTGTGCATGCGATGACGAAGCTTTTTCTGGAATTAGAATTGTGATAATGGGGTTTAGGATTTTGTCAAATGTTTGACTTACAGTGGAGTTATTATTGCTTGGCAGATTACGATGAATATCCATATGATGAAGCAACACATCATATTTGACTTGAACATGTCTTCTCTCAGTTGGCTGAACTGTAAAATATAATTATTATAATTATTCTTAGTGTTAAGTTTATTTGTGATGGACTTTACAAAAAGTAATAGTATGGGGTCTTTCATTAAACGCTTCCTATCTTCAAATTTAAATAAAACAAAGTTTGTGTGAGATATCATCGAAATTATTTTTCATTCATTTGAAAGACCTATTGATGCAATTATATGTGGGATATAACATCGTTCAAATGTCCGCCACAGCTCCTCTGGGTGAAGCACATCGGAAACGTTCAACTTTCCATGACTTTGGTGTTTAAATCAGGCTGAATTCGACCGATGGCATGAGTTATGTTAACTTTGAGGACCGCTGTGGTTTATGATCTATTCGTATACACCTGTGACTCAAGAAAACCCCACAGGAAAAGTCTAACGGGGTCAAATCGTACAATCTTGGTGGCCAGTTCACATCTCCTCCACGTGAGCTAATCATGCCTTCGAATCGTTCGTGCAAATTATCCAATGTGGCATGAGCTGTGTGACACGCAGCACTGTCCTGTTGAAACCACACGTCTTTGAGGTCCAGAACATCCAATTCAAGCCAAAAAGAGTTGGTAATCATCGACCTTTAGTGCTCGCCGTTGACAGTGATGGCCTGGCCAACGTATGTATCGATGACGCGGCCAGCCCAAAATTCACACCAAATAGTGACTTTTTCGGGATGCATTGAACGCTCTTGAGTCTCATGTGGATTGGTATCGTCCCAAATTCGACAATTTTGTTTATTCACGTACCCATTCATCTATAAATGGGCCTTATCGCTGAGTATGATTTTTCGATGAAAATTAGGGTCAGTTACCAACTGCTCCACAGCCCATTCAGCGAACACACGTCGTTGTCTATGGTCGTGTACCTTCAGTTCCTGGGTTAGTTGAATTTTGTTCGGGTGCAGGCTCAAGTCACGACACAAAATTCGCCAAGATGTCATCGGAAATCATTTTTTGAATATTGAGTATACTTTCAATTTGATTTTGTGTTCGTAAGTATTGCAGCTAAAAAAAGTAATAGCTCTCGTGGCTTTTTCAAATAATTAAAGAAGGTTCATTAGACAATTTTTAGAGAACTTCCAATAAACGGTACTTTTTTTGTACCTTTCTTGGACAGTAATTATGCAGTTTTCATTCAAAACCGTAATATTGGTGTCAAAAGGTCCTTTTATTTACGTAGAGATCCAGCACTAGCCGTCTACCGTTAGGACGTCGAGACACCGACGCCAATTTTTTTAAATGGTAACTCAGTATTTTCAATTGGTTTTTGAATTCTGAATTCAGCCATATAGCACACTTGTAGTTTTTCTTGAAAACTGATGAAAAAAGGCAATTTTATTGCATGTTATAAAGAGGGCCAGGAATAAGTCGAAATAAATGCAATAATGTATTTATCGATCTGTCAGAAGACCTGTCAGATTTGACGAAAGTGTATTCAGTTTTGTGATGGTTTTTCGTAAAATTGAAAAATGGTTCAATTTTCAAATGCAGAAAAGTTGGATATGATATGTATTTATGGCGAAGTAAGAAAGAATTTAAAAGAAGCAGTGAGAATATACGCTAATCGATATCCTTACAGAAAATAATCGTCAGATAATTTCTATCAGACGAGTAGCAATGCATTGTAACATTTTGAAATCGTCAGTACAACGTATTTTGTCAAAAAACAAATTCCATCCATACAAAATACATTTGGTTACAGGTTATAATCTGCATCTTTCATTTTCAATAACTAAAATATATTCCCATATTCAGGAGATGCTCATAGACGATTGAACTTCAATGCATGGTTGTTCACTCGTATTCATGATGATGATCAGTTTCTGAAAAAAATATTATACAGTGATGAAAGCCGTTTCCATAACAACGGTATAATAAACAAAAATAATTGTCACTATTGGTCTGACGTGAACCCTCTTTGGGTGCAAGAAACGAGATTTCAGTCTTTGTGGGGGGTTAATGTTTGGTGCGGAATCATTGACGGTTGATAGGACCTCATTTTTTCGAAGGAATTCTCAGTGAGGAGAGGTACTTGGTTTTTCTGCAACATGTCTTGGAGAATTTGCCGATACAAACTCGACTGAATATGTGGTTTCAAAAAGATGGGGCACCTCCACATAATAATGGAATAGTTACTCAATATTTGGATGATACGTTTAATGAGAAATGGATTGGGAATAAAGGTCCAAAACCAGCCAGCTCGAAGTTCAGATATTACTCCACTGGATTTTTTGTGGGGATATATCAAAGACTTAGTTAATATGCGACGTCCACAAAATGTAGATGATGATGGAAAATATTATTACAAATGTTTGTGCTTCCATAACGCGAGAAATGCTTTTAGCTGTCACGAATCGGGAATTACTAAAAATATGCAATATGTGTATTCTACGTGAAGGGAGGCAGTTCGCACACTTACTGAAATTATTCTTGTTATCTCTAATTGATTTCTTTATCATCATGTTAGTCGAGTTATGGTCAAAATAATATATTTTTTGGTAATTTGAAACATTTATTTCAATTTGTACAGAAATACGCAACTAGATAAAATTTAACAAACAATGAAATCATAACTGATAAATTCATTTTATTAAACTCGCATTATTGTATTCATTTTGACTTATTCATGACCTTCTTTATAATATGCAATAAAATTGCCTGTTTTCATCAGTATTCAAGGAGGAAAACTACAAGTGTGCTATATGGCTGAATTCAGAATTCAATGCAGAATCTAAAAACGAATCGGAAAATCTAGGTTACCATTTAAAAAAATTGGCATCGGTGTCGCGACGTCCTAATGGATGACACCTATTGCTGGATTTCTTAGCAAATAAGAGGACCCTTTGACATCAAAATCATCTGCCTTCACGAAATATGGATATTCTCTCTCATTTTTCAGATATTTGCCCGCGGAGTTTTATATGGGACACCCTGTATATATGAAAAGGGTAGTCGTTGCTGACTAGTTAGGAATGGAACTAGTAAATAGTGGGGCTTTGCAGCAAATGTGTACTCTTTAAAGTTTGTTCAAGCTTTCAGAAATTTAATAAAATTGTTTCCATCATCAGGAATGCGTGTGAGTAATAGTCCGGTCAAATTAGACTAAAAAATAAGAGTGAAGGTACATGCATTTACAACAAGCTGCAAATGCGTGTAATTGTTCAAAACATAGTTGAAAATAAGATTTTAAAATTCCGAATGATTGCGATGCATGGAAAAAAATGTATTCAAGGTCAAAGGTCAAAAATCTCGAAAAAAAATGTTTTTTAACGATTTTCAGGAAAACGGTAAGTTTTATCATAAAATAATTTCAGATAAAAGTTGTAGATCATAAAATTCTTTACAAAAAATGAATCAATCCTTTTTTTCTTAGACCCACCGTTTCTGAGATACGACGAGTCAAAAAGTAGTAAAAGTTGTAATCGTCATTATATGCATGAGTATGCCACGTATATACATCTCTGAAGTTGTAATTTCGTTTTCTGTTTCCAACAGGTCAATATTGAAATTAACAATACTAATAATACATACATCATTGACGGTGGATATTTACTGCATCGTGTTGTGTGGGATAGTGAAGAAACATTTAGCATTATTTCATATAAATATGTTCAGTATGTACGTAGAAATTTTGGTGCCAGAATTACGGTCGTATTTGGTGGCTATGATGATTGCACGAAAAATATTAAAGCTGCAGAACAACGTCGTCGAACTTTAGCAACATCTTCATCTTCCGCTATTTTATTTGATGAACTTATGACAGTTTCTACCAGTCAACAGAAATTTCTTGCAAATACTCACAACAAATCTCGGTTCATTTCAATGTTGAAGGATAAGTTTATTGGCGAAAATATATTGGTTAAACAGGCTAATAACGATGCCGACGTACTGATTATTGAAACAGCTATAGAGCAATTTAATTTGACAAATACAACTATTGTTGTTGGTGAAGATGTAGACTTACTCGTACTTCTTACTGCTCGAACTCCACCTGAAAAAACTATTTTCTTTCTAAAGCCAGAAAAAGTTCAAAGTCGAACCGAAATATATTCGTCAAAAAGTTTATCTACTTTTGCAGAGAGTCAAAATCATGTACTATTTATACACGCAATAACTGGCTGTGATACGACGTCTGCATTTTACAGGAGGGGTAAAGCAACAGTCTTTAAAATATTTGAAAAACAAGATTTAGTTCAATGTGCTGAAGTTTTCAAAAAAAAGTAATTCTACTCAACAAGAAATTATCACCAACGGGATTCAGTTTCTTCTTTCTATGTACACAGCTCCAAAAAAAACCACCTGCTTAGATAAGTATCGATATGCATGTTTCGTAAAAAATACTAAAAATAAGAAACAGATGCAAATAGCCTGTCTTTTTCCAACCTCAGTTGCTGCTCATCAACACCTTTTCCGGGTATATTACCAAGTTCAAGTGTAGCTTGGTTATCAGCTAAACCCAAAAGACTGGGGTTGGAAGTTGGTCGATAATGCATTAGAACCTATTCAGACTTTACTCCCACCTGCGCCGGAAAAACTGCTGAACACAATTTTTTGCAACTGTGAAAAGGGATGCAGCGCTAAATGTAGTTGTAGAAAAGTTGGACTGTTGTGTTCTCTGGCATGTACATATTGTCAAGGCCAGTCATGTTCTAATGCTGAGTCACCAATAGTGGGGGATTCATTTGATACCAACGAGGAAACATGCGATACATCACTCTTGACGCAGTTTACCTACACCTAGGATGAATATCAAGAAGAAGAAGATCAAGAAGAACAAGACCAAGAAGAAGAACGACAAGAAGGATTTGAAGATTATGACTCAGATGGATAAATTCTTACATTTTTTGAATTTCAATCGCTTTTATAATGTCCAACCCTTCCTAATATATTTTATTATGCAAGTTTTCAATTTGACAGAATCACAACAGACATGTGGAATAGGCCTACTGGGGAAACCACGTTAAAAAAACGCGCTAAGTACACTACCTCATAGGCGTCGTGGAAACGTGTGCATATAACTATGTTTTGAACAATTACAAGTGTTTGCAGCTTGTTGTAAATTTATGTATCTTCCAATGTCTAGATTGACCGGATTATAATATTGAGATATATATGGATGATTAGACTTACAACTTTGTTGAGGATGTTTCATACGATGGTTATCTAAAATATTGGGCACATAGTGTTGGATGAACATTGGTACAATACATTTACAAACATTGGGAAAAGATGTCTAATATTTTATAAAATACGTTACAGTTTAAAATTTTTAAAATTTTCAAAAAATTTCAAGTGTAACGTATTTTATCATATATTAGACATTCTTTCCCAATTTTTGTAAATGTAATTTATTTTTCCTTTAATTTTTATCATATTCCTTTTTTTTTCTAATGGGTTTCATCTTATTGCTATTTTTTATGGTTTCAAAAATTATCGACCCTGGTTTAATACCCACCTGATGTTCCATGTCTTTGTCGATAAACCTCAACGTCCAAGGATTCACGTTCGCGTTTCTCATCCTTTTATTGCTTTCGATTTCGATGCTGTGGTCTATTATCTCATCTACTTGCTCAAGAGTCGAAACGTAAGTCGAACCTCTTTTCTTGTATCGAGGGTCAGTTGAATCATATTTTTGTTTATATGATATAGCATCGTCTTCGTCTAGTTCGTTCGAGAGGGTTCTGTGGAGCTTGAAAAGAATGTAGATGTGAGGAATCATACAATGGGGAAATTGTATGAATAAAAATGAATATATAGAAATACTGTTATCAGTCATTCTCTGACTCTTTGAAAAGGAAATAGGCGCGTCCATGAAACAAAATTATCTCCATGTCCTTACATTTCCGGAGGGTAAATTTATATTTGGTATCAGCATTGCACCCGTGCAGTGATTATTTTTAAAATATTTGGCAAAAACTGTATGATGAATGATATAAAAAAGGCAGAAAAACTTTCAATTTTGTTTCATATTAGTTATAATATGATATAAACTAATTTGCAATGCGACGTTTCGTTCATTAGATTCCACCATTAACTTTATTTTTTAAATACGGACCATTGTTATATATTTAAAAAAATAGGTTGACGATGAACGAAAAGTTGAGTAGGGCAGTAGAGCCAAAAAAGCGAAGTTCGACAATTCTAGTTTTTGTCGAATGTTTTGGACAATCATATGTTCATTATTTATACTAGTTTATAAACTAACAAACATATAAATAATCCAGTACCAGCGTATGTGCTATCTGAATATGCATGCCTATAGTAAAACCAATAATGATTGAGAGTAAAGCGCGTTGTCATATCTAAATTTTACGTTACCAGTTTATAGCAGAATGAAAATATAGTAAGCAGTAGAGTTGTAGGTTGTGGCAAATTATAGATAATACACAATACTAGTACGATTAAAAGGTATTATTTATGACAAAAATCAGTAATGAGCTTGTAATGAGTAATACTTATACATTTCCTGATTACTGATCAGTTAAAATTCATTATTTTCTGTATAGTGTTAGATATTTATTACAACTAGTGGCAACGCTGTACGCAACGATATTTC